ATTCTAATCAATAAATATAGTCTGTATAATTGAGAGTGTATTTTCTTTAAACAATTGTTTTTATTTTAATTAAGAAATTTATTTCAATTCAGTTTATTTTCAGAGTTAATTAATGAAAAAGAAGAAGAAACTCTTTCTCTGATTATATAATTTAAACTTATTTTTATAATTTTCAAAGTATAATTTATACAGGCTTTCTTAAATCTGATAGTAAATAAAGAAATTGAAGCTTTAATTTTTATTACTCTAATAAAAGATGATTTAAATGTTTTTAAAATTGTTCTTAAAACTCTATTTTGTAGACTTTAAAAGAGTTTAGTGAAATTTCTTTAATTATTTTATTAAATTTAAACTTCATAATCAGCTACTGAGATGATACAGACTATATATAATTATTTTATAGTTTGAAAGAATAGATCTCTTTCTGCATTTAATAGTTTAATTATATTATTCAGTAATCTTTCTGTTTTAATAATTATTTGTTAAATATGATATTTGAAATTTGACTTGAAGTGTAATCATACTCTCAGTTATTTAACATTCAAACTGAGTTTAATCTCTTTGTTTAAAAGAGTTAAACTTAATGTTTTCTCATTGAATCTGAGAAAAAAGTAAATTACTCTGTTTTATTCATATTAAATTGAATTTGATTGATATCTGTTTAAAAAAAGATTTTCTTTTCTTTTTTTTCAATTACTTTTAAATTCTTTTTAATTGTTTTTAAACTGTAGATTAAATTAATATAATCTATATAGCTGAAAAATCTCACTATTTTCATCTCTCTATTCTTAAATAGATATGTAGTATATATTGTAAATAAAACAGATACTATTAAAGATTTTTATAATACTTCTATTTTTATCTCAGCTTTATCTTGTTTTATCTCAATAAAAAAAAATTGTATAATTTTTTTTGCTATAAAATAATCAACTCATTTTATTAGAGAAACTGATAATTACAGCTCAGATGTGCTCTGTCTGACTTATAGAGTTTCTCAACTTATTCTCTAGATAGATATTGAGAACTGATCAGTAGAATCTCTTGTGATTATTCTCTATATAATTCAGTCAATTCTTGACTTCAATGTAGTAGAGGTCTGTTATTATATAGATAATAACTTCTTCATTTTTCATATCACACAGCCGGGCTTGTGAGTCAATTTCAAATACAAACTTATAAAAGCTTTTATAGATTGTGATCCAATAGATAATCTTAAGTATTTATAACTTAAGAAAGTTTCTTTTTAGTTTATAAGTGTCTCTGAAGATCATATTTAAAGACTCAGTTTGAGAGTGTTTATAAATAGTAAGTATTTCTTACAGAAAAATAGCTTAATTCTGTGAGAGATACTTAAGAATGTTCTTCACTAAGATTGATTTATTCATAAGTTTGAAGAGTTTCTCTATTATAGATATAGAGAATAATATTCTGTAAGTAATTAATAAATTCTCTGAGATTTCTTTTATAGAAATTATTCATGATTCAGATAACTGCTTCTGAGTATCTACAGTAGAGTTTATAGAAATTAAAGTATATAAGTTTCTAGTTCTTTCAGTTATAATAAATGATTGCTGACTGACAGAGCTTGAAATGTAAGAATAAGTACTCACAGATAATTATTCAGATGTTTGCAGCTTAATATAATATATATTAATAGTTACTAGAAGTATTTATAATAGAAAGATAAATATAGAGATTAAATTTATAATAGTATTCAAGCTAAGTTATAAATAGTATTTATAAACTTCAGTCTATATAGTTGTGTATAGTCAAGGGCTGCTAACCCTATTAATTACGCGAGAGATAGAAATAGAGGGAAAGAATTCGCGAGAAGTGAGATTTCTTACAAATGACTAGAAGTATGATTAAACTTCAAGTTGAATTTAAATATCATATTCAACAGAGAATTATCAAGACAGAGAGACTACTGAATAGTGTAATCAGACTATTAAATACAGAGAGAGATTTATTCTTTCTGACTATGAGACAGTTATACATAGTCTATATCATCTCAGTAGCTGATTATGAAGTTCAAGTTTGATGAAGTAATTAAGAAAATTTCACTGAACTCTTTGAAAGTCTGTAAAACAGAGCTTTGAGAAGAATTCTGAGAGTATTTAAATTATCTTCTATTAAAGTAATGAAAATTGAAGCTTTAATTTCTTCTTCTACTATTCAATTTAAAAAGGCCTGTATAAGCTATACTCTGAGAGTTATGAAGATAAGCTTAAATTATATAATCAGAGAAAGAGTCTCTTCTTCATTTTTATTAATTAACTCAGAAAATGAACTGAATTAAAATAGCTTGCTTGATTGAAATGAGAATAATTCTTCAAAGAAAATGCTCTCTCAACTATACAGACTATGTTCACTGATTAAAAATAAATTTTCTTTATTAAATATTGATACAATTGATTATGAGAAGATATCTCTT